CAAATACCATCAAACGATTTGGTTACATATTATTGTGCATGCGTTAGATCTTCTTTGGACTATGCATGCCCAGTATACCATAGCTCTCTACCAAGTTACCTACATGACGACCTGGAAAAGGTCCAAAAGAGAGCTTTAGCGTGCATTTTCCCAGGAATACCTTATTCTGATGCTTTGGTATTGGCGGAAATACCCCCTATTAAAGACCACCACAGCACAATTACAAAGAAACTGTTCCAGTCCATATCAGAGAACCCAAAAAATAAAATCCATCACCTGATTCCAAGTGCTAACAAAAATCCTAAATACAATCTTAGGAAAAATAGGAAATTTTCACTGCCACTAGTAAGAACAAAAAGATTCTCGGACTCATTTATTATGCGTGGTAGTACCAACACACTTTATAGTCCGTGTGTTGTGACCCGATATCGTTCACTTTCATTAAGCATGTCTTAGATCTGAAATATTTTTACGGGAACTAACACTTTCGAACACGCTGAATTCAAATCCGAAAAGTTCCCACTCCGTAGACCCGCAGTTTTCACAAAATGCTATTTTATCTTCACTAATTTCACAACAAATTTTTTCATTGTTCAACGATACGGATCGATGACGATACACGATTATGTCACTCAAAAGGACGAATTTCTATTAACCATTCTTTCTTTTAACAAATGATCGGTTTTGCTCGAATAATTTTGAGTTATGTAATCTTATGCGTGTTGGACGTAAACAATATATCTTGTCTATAACTTTGAGAAGGTACAGATAACGCTTTCAAAAATCCTCAGTTCTAGAGCTATCTCTATAAAATCACAATGACGTTAATGTCAAGTCTTTTAGCTATGTCACTGGCCTGAAAAATTACTCTTTTAACGCGATCAAGATATTTAAAACAAAAGTAACGCGAAGCCAACGTAACGGCAAAGATAACGCTAAAACGAAATATTGTCGAATGGTTGCAGGTAGAAGACTTACGACAGGATCAATCTTAAATAACCTTAAACTATAAGAAAAAATGTTCACATCAAAGACAAAGATCAGTCACAAAGTATAAAATACGCTCTGTAAACTTACCGCGAAGTGGAGAAATGTGTGCATGAGCTGTTTATTTGATGATTTCGACGTATATAGAAGCCATCTTTCCAATAATACTCGCTTATCGCACAGTATAACACCAACTGATATAATAGTTCAAATGCAATGATAAGTTATCTCTTGAATTACGTCTTGGAAACCGTGTTGGAAATTTCCATGCTGATCCATTACATATAGATTCCCGTTTTATATCTTTGTATAGGGAATATTCCCATGTAAGGAATTATATCTCAGCCCAGAGACATAGCCCAAAGACTTGACATTAACGTCCTTTTGATTTTATAGAGATAGTTCCAGAACTAAGAATATTTTAAAGAATTATCTGTACCTTCTCAAAGTTGTAGACAAGATATGTTGTTTACGTCCAACACGCATAAGATTACATAACTCAAAATGATTCGAGCGAAACCGGTCTTTTGTTAAAAGGAAGAATGGTTAATAGAAATTGGTCCTTTTGAGTGACATAATCGTGTATCGTCATCGATCCGTGATGTTGAACAATGAAAAAATTTGTTGTGAAATTAGTGAAGATAAAATAGCATTTTGTGAAAAAACTACGGGTCTACGGAGTGGGAACTTTTCGGATTTGAACTCAGCGTGTTCGAAAGTGTTAGTTCCCGTAAAAATATTTCAGATCTAAGACATGCTTAATGAAAATCGTTTTCTAAGCACTTTTCGAGGTCACAACACACGGACTATTATGATTAGTGTAGATTATTATTAAAATCTCTAACAATATAGATTTTATAACTTTTAAAATAAGACTTTGACTCTTAAAGAAATTTTAGTTAGTAAAGTAGTTAATTAAGTTGTAATTTTTTTGCAAAAGTTGCGCAATTCAGTGTAAAACTGCAAGGTAACTTATTAAATAATCTATCTATCTATCTATCTATTCACCGAGGCCCGCAACGCCGAGGTGAATTAACACATATCCCCGAGGTGCCTCAAAATAACGTACTTATTTTTCACAATGCGAAGTCGCGTTAATGAGTCAGAATAGAAATAAGTCTTAACGCCATATTGCCATTGTTATGTTGTTTTTTCTCATTTATTCTGCTGCAAAGACATTGCAGGTGAATATTAGAGGGATTATTAATTGCAGGTGAATATTAGAGGGATTATTAAATGGAAATTGATTAGAGGGGAATATTGAATATACAGGGTGTTAAAAAAAAACGCAACCTCGGAAATTCCTAAGAAATCACGGTGCAATTCTTAAGCATAAAAGATTTTAGGCCGCTGGGAATTGAAATCGAATTGCTAATAGATCATATTACTATTGTTGTGCATTAAATAAATGCATAAATTTTGCTTTATGCACTCGCGTGTGCAGTAATTTTGACAGTTGTGCTATTTTAAATTCCCAGGCGCCTAAAATCTTTTGTCTTTAATTAAAACAATGTCAATTTCTTGGGAAATTCCGAGGTTGCGCTTTTTTTTATACACCCTGTATTCCCCGATAAGAACAAAGGAAACCGAGCAGGGTAAAAATAATATATGATAGCCAGATAGCAGTATTACTCCTCTGCGCTTTGAGAAACTAAGCCAGCGTGTTAAATTTAGTCAACTTAACGCTCATAATTAATCGTTATAACTAGGTTACCCACAGGGCAGTAATGCTGCATGCCTTTGACAGCAAAAGTCAAACGAGTCCTTCAGAAACATCCTATTATTGTTAAACTTGTTAACCCATTTATTGACAGTACCCTACCACTGACTGAGTATGACAAATCGTCTGGCTTTCTTCTAAAGTCAAAACTGAAAAATCGAACACCGTCAATCGATGCGGAAGATTGCTTAGAATAATTGTGTCAAATTTCATTCCGATTGGACAACTAATGACGGAGCCTTAGGGTTTTTTCAAAGAGCGTCGCCCCCTAACAACAACAACAACAAGATTAGCAGCGATTGGGGACCAGTTCCTGGTGCAAAAATAGGCACGCACTGCGTACACGTTGCAAGCCTTGGACTGCACGTTAGACAAGAAAAATTTGTAAAATTGCCCGTTATATTTTGTAAAATATAACGGGCAATATATCGTTTCCGCGTTACTTAAAAATCATCATGAGTTGTTTAAGATAACAGTAAATCGCATGATCGAGATTTGAAAGTTGAAAAGTGAGTTTCGGATTTTGAACTTTTTTAAGCGTTTTTAAGGAACGAATTTTGTTTTTTCAAGGACGTAAAACCGGGCGTTTGTATTCCAAGTGATGAGTAACGAGTAATGAGTAGTAAGTAATGAATTTTCGTACTTTCTTTGGACAGATAAATGTGTATCATAAAGAGGGAATTCGAAATGCTAGAATAAGCAATGAAAGCAATCGCTATTACCATTGTGAACATACATGCATTTTTTCCAGGCATCCATATTTCACACCAAATATACTTACTTTACATCAAGGAACATGTATCAAAGTAGGCATTTATTAGAAAAATTTGGTATCATAACTTATATGTACTGACTGCGTTGACAATTAACTATAAGGTAATTAATGATGGTAATAGAACGAATAGGAGTGCTATTAATGCCATAATCATACGAGTGATTACAAAATCAACCGACCGCGTATCGGGACTGAGGTTGATTTGTTAAACACGAGTATGATTACCGATATAATCACATGACAACATTGTTTGAATTATTCAACACACAATTGGGAAGCCATGTTTGCAAGTTTATAACGTGTTCAAAATAGTGAAGTTCTTTAGTTCAGTTTAATCTGAATCTGAGTCAAATATAACCGCTGGTTGTGTCTAGTTCGGTGTCTTCTGCTGTAAGAACAGGTAGGTTATTTTCGTCAGAAAATATATAATTTAAAAGTTAAAAGGTCAAAATTTTCAAAATTTGTGAAATCCTCCATTTTGAAATTTTTTACAGCAATAAAGAAAATAAAATTCAAAGTTTGTATCCTGAATGCTGATTGGCTAGTTGTAAACACTAGACTGATTTTCATTAGCTGTAGACAAGAATGCGATTACAGCTCAGAAAAGGTGCGATTAATGCACAAATCGCACTCGTGTAAACCAATGAAAATGCAGTATTTGCCACTGATTACAGAAGATAAATAATTAATTCTGTAACATTCTGCAATATGTTGAATTATTACTTATTTATTTATTTTAATATGTTTTCATATTAAACTTTCTGTTCTGTTGAAGTGACCAAGCTCGCGGCGCCTGTCATGTTTTTATTCTGCATTTTGTTATACATGATAAGCAATATCATGTAATTTTACATAATTATATATTTATCATTATTAATCACATTATTAATTAAAAATAGTTTACATGCATGAGTAAGCAAATAGTTTTAAAGGGAGGATTTTAAAGGATTCTAAGAGCTCATGCACTCACACTCAATGAGTGAAGGTTCAATCTGAGCTTCTCTTGAGTGTAAATGCTGTTTTTGAAAAGCTGGAGGGTGAGTAGTCACCGAGTGTGAGAGAGTTAGAACGTTATGTAAGAACAATATAGTGGCGACCACGAGGAGAGAATAATCAAGATGGCAAACTCAGTAAAATTATTGTTTGTATAAGTCTTTATATGTTTGCGTATATTTTATCATTTATTATTAAAAAGAAACAAATTCAATATCCCGCGGAAGCCTTTTGATCCTAAGTCTCTAACATGGTCCTTATTCGAGCCGGATGTACGTTTAAATCAAGGGAAATCGAGAATTTGTTTACGAACTTGGCAAACATCGTTGATCGTGAGTTGAATAATTAGTATTCATATATTCAAAGTTTATTGGTGAAAATAATGCGTAAAGTCGTTGATTATTCAATGATCGAGTATTCGAGTTACTTCTGGACTTGAGAAATCTATGAAACCCTATATCCATTCTATACAAGATCACTGAAGAAGAATTAAAGAGGAAAATTAGAGTCCGTGGGGTCATCCGTCTTCAGCCAAACATGTATTCGACCCAACCAACCCAGAAACAGTTATAAGGTGAAACAGCAACTGACCACTCTCAAGGAAAAAATGAAAACTCTGAGCGTGCACGATGAAGAAATATTAAGTTTGGTAAAGAAAGAAGAAATCGAAAACGAGATTGAACAAGCTGATATATTTAAGGAATGATTACAACACTCGATAGTAAGCATCGAAATGGCACTAGAGAAAATAGCAATCGAAAGCAGCACGTACTGTGAGTCACGAGCCGGTGACAAACCTTGCATGCACCCATGTTTTGAAATGTGTACCAAATCCCTGGAAAGATGGTGCCGATGATGGCGCCGATGATGATGGCGCCGATGATGATGGCGCCGATGATGAAGCCGATAATGATGGCGCCGATGATGATGAAGCCGATGATGATGGCGCCGATGATGATGGCGCCGATGATGATGGCGCCGATGATGAAGCCGATGATGATAGGTAAGGTAAGGTAAGGTAAGGTAAGGTAAGGTAAGGTAACTTTATTTATCCACGGTGTACTCATCAGGATTAAGATTATACATACATATTATATATATACAGGGTGTATCAAAATAAACGCAATTCATCTTTTGTGCTTAATAACTTTCGAAATACTATTTCTAGTTAAACGCTTTTAGGCTTACTTCAAAGCCTGTTCTTTTCTCTTTCAAACAAGCTATTATCCTTGTCTCCAATGCTAGTAATAATTGCACAGGAAAAGATTTAGTAAAACCTATCATTTTTAGTTGCTGTTTAATTATGCAAGTTTACTATGTTATTGTTTAGTCGGTTTAAATGTTAGAATTTTCTTCTTTAAACTTTAATGTTGTCCTCACTACATCTGGAAAACCACGTAAGAACAAATTAAAAGTATTTTAAAAGAGACCAGGTTGTTTGAAAATCCTAAACGAATGCTAAAAATCGTCAAAACATTCTGGTGTCTGAGCGGCAGAGTGTCATCGAATTGCGATCCAATGTAAACAGAAATTATAGCAAGTTGATGTCAGTCAGCTTAGATGGTCCAAGCCAAAATTATATCGCATTTGAAGTTTCAAACTGAGTTAAAAATAGTGGAAGAAAAGCCGTAATTATGCTTGTTACAATCCATTTAATAAAATGCAACATTTTTTTGTTTTAATGAAAAAATCAGTTATTTTCATGAGAACGATTTCAATTGTTATTCCATCTCAATTTTTTTAATCTCCAATCGCAATAACGTAAAGTATTATTACCCGCGAACCAATGAGTCAAATTTACGAAACAACCCACTGTTAGAAAGCTGAATGGCTACGCTTTAAAATGAATGTAAACTTTAAAGTTTTCGTCAATTATTTGTTTAGCAATTTACATTTCAGTCGAGGATTGCGCTTTTTTTTATACACCCTGTATATGTAAGATAAGACAGTAAACATAGAGCATGGGAAAAGCAATGATCACATGCTTAGGATTGATACAGGTGTTCAGACAAGATAGCATTGACCGAAAATCCACTTTTATTTAATTTACAACATGCATTCGTTTTCAGCATCTTATGAACTTTTACATATATATATATATATATATATATATATATATATATATATATATATATATATATATATATATATATATATATATATATATATATATATATGTACATCAATCGCCTGATGATCGTACGCTGTACGTGAAACACTGTGTAGCGATGAAATAAAATTTTAAGTTTGAAATTTGTTGTTTTTGTCTTTTTATATATATATATATATATATATATATATATATATATATATATATATATATATATATATATATATATATATATATATATATATATATATATATATATATATATATATATATATATATATATATAAATCTTATGCATAAAACTAATAACACACTACTTGCAATATAAATAACACAATATATAAATACATACTAAGAAATGGCAAAAGAAAAACCTGCCTTACATGAGTGCCGTGCAAATGATGGCGCCGTTGATGATGGTGCCGATGATGATGGTGCCGATGATGATGGTGCCGATGATGATAGTGCCGATGATGATGGTGCCGATGATGATGCTGTTGATGATTACCAAGGAGAAAGGCAGCCGTCGCAACAGATGAACTACGAAAGCCATGGCTACAACAACTAAGTTGAACTGTTAACATTTTGAACCTTTAATATTTCAGTATGGAAGATTAGCTATTATTAGGTTATTAAGAATTGTTGACATTTCGCTGTTGATCGATGTTATATCGATCAACGGGGGCAGTGTGAGAGAGTAGAACGTTATGTAAGAACAATATAGTGGCGACCACGAGGAGAGAATAATCAAGATGGCAAACTCAGTAAAATTATTGTTTGTATAAGTCTTTATATGTTTGCGTATATTTTATCATTTATTATTAAAAAGAAACAAATTCAATATCCCGCGGAAGACTTTTGATCCTAAGTCTCTAACACCGAGTAAGGTATCGCAATAGCCCTCAAGCTATTCAAAAACAGCAATGACACTCGAGAGAAGCTCAGATTGAACTTCCACTCATTGAGTGTGCTTTTAGAATACGGGCGTATATATAGGCTAATACTCTTTTAGACTGTTATCGTTTTTTCATATCTTGCTTACTTCTACATATATTTTGATCGAAAGAAATGAAATTGTCCGCCATCTTCAATTTTTGTAGATATGCATGTCACGTCACGCAATATTTTTATCTAGACAACCACTAATCATTTTGCACTCAAAACTATATACTCTGCATGTCTGGCCTTCGAAATATCAAGATCACTCAAAACATTTATAAACATCTACCAATCAATATTTGGTCAGCAACGAATACTTTTATATGGTTAATCCCTGTTGTGACGTCACCAAAGCTACCGTTAATGAGATAAAAAAAAATTATCCAAGATGGCGGACATGTCCTTACTTCAAGTGAAAATATTTCAAGAACTAA